CACTTCTCTAAGGGAAAGGAAATAGTTGGTCCGCAATGCACAGGACACTGGAGAAACCTCCATATGCTAACGCACTTGGGCCGGCTCCTCTGTTGCCTCTCTAGGAATCTTGGAGGATCCATCAGTCTCAGTGGTTTATTTGTGCACATGACCTGGCTGGCCTTTGTAAGCTCAGAAGTGGCCCCCAAAAAGCTCAGGCCAACCGGGGTATTCAGCAGCCACTCAGTCTGGGTTGACTTCTCTCTCTCCTTGGCTGAAGACACTTAACTACTCTCACTGGATCCTGATGCACCTACGGTTCCCTAGGACCTTGGTTCTCCGAGGTCTCGGGCATCAGGATCTTTCCCTCTGTCCTCAGGGAGATTCCTTAATTCTGCCACAGCAAGCACCGTAGAGCCCAACCAAGCTCCTGGGATGGCTGATGGGGGTGTATGGTCTAGGCACAGGCACACTCAGAGCTCCTCCCACATTCCTGGTCATGACTCTCAGAAGATAAAGGGCTTTCCAAGTAAAAAAACCCAACCAACCAACCCTGGGTCAGTTATTATATGTACCACACCAATTGTCCAGTTACCTTCACTCTGCCCCGCCAAGGGTCAAATGCGATAATCAACACTCACTTGAGGAAAGTGGACACAAGAGGGGAAGATGTTGGCTTGCTCTCCATTGTTTTAAACCTGTTTAAATAAATCAGGTCCCCCCAAGTAACTATCCCTCACTACATACCCCTCTACAATGAGTTAGCAGAAGTCAGGGGTGGTAAGGGGAGGCCACTGCCACCCCTATACCTGCAGTTGTGCTGAGCAATCACAACTGAGGAATGATCTTGAGGCAGTTTTTGAATAGCTGCCTGAAGATCTACTGACACACTTAAGGCAAGGTCAGCTGTCTTTGGTACCATTCAGTGGCAAAAGGGCTCCTCTCCACAGCCAACAAAGGATGTGATAAATTATGAAACTACTTGGTATAATATCTGCCCCCTTCCCCTTCACCCAACTACTTGCTTAAAATGGCTGTTTGCCCTAACACTGTAAGCTTCTGATTCAGTCCTCTATCTTCTCACTTTCTTCTACAGCATAAGGTTGAACACTGTACTCTATTGGTTCCTATACCACTGAAACACTCCTGTGCTTCCAGGACATCATCCATCTTGTCTGGTAAACCATTCACTCAATAGGTTCATCTTTGGTAACTTGCTATGTAAAGAATGGGTTTGTCTTAACAGGGGGTTTGGGTGAGGGGCCCTGTGTTTGTTTTGCAGACATATTATCCCATCCTTTCTTGTCTAATCCAATACATCTATTACTGGGGGCTATCTTGGGCTAGGTGGCTACACCTAAGTCTCCAACAGCCTTTTTCATGTTCTGCATTCGTTTTCATGACAGAACATTGTAATCTTTCTGATTCTCTGTCTCTTCTATCTCCTTGGTTGAAAAAATACTGCCTACTGTAAAAATTATTAGTATAGGGACCACACATCCTGGTTTATGCCTGTTGTCTTGGTGTAATTATTAACAGCACTCCTTTTCATTTTCAGTGAAAAGATTCTCAGGTTCTGTTTCAGAAACTGAATGAATAGGTCTGGGGTGAGGCTCAGAAAACTGCAGTTCAGACAAACAACCCAGGTGACTGTAGTGCAGGTATCATCAAGAAATAGTGTCTTCAACACTGCCCATTGGCAGTTGACATAGAAAACTAGGGATAGGTTCAAAGAGACCTAAAAATCACAGAGGTTTATAGACTATGCTTTTCTCCCTATCCATTTTATGGGAAATAATAAAATGTGTGAGGAGTAAAGGGCAGTGAGATTATTTTCACTGCTTAAACAACAGCATCTAAAAACTTAGACCAGATAAATAAGAGAGATTTCTAATAATGAAGATGAAGCATGTTTCTTGGCAACAATCTGTCCCTGCGTCTATCTTTTTACTTTTTCCTTTGGTCACCATTTTTTGTCCAATCTAGAGTTTTAGCATCTAACTTTACCATCTGATTCCTTTTTATGTCCTCATATTTTTTTCTTTTTTCTTTCCATCCCACTTTGTTGCTGCTGTTGTTTACAGATGCCTACAATGAGTCTCAGGGTTCCAAGTGTAAGTGTCTATGAAACCATATATAATTCACAGTGATCTCTGTTCATAATTGGTTTCCTTTTCAAATTTTTTAAGGTGATAAAAGATTACTACAAGTTCTTAAGCATTTGAACTTCACTTTTCTCATTTAGGTATGATATTTGCTAAGCTCTTAAAATATCTTTTTAAAGCTAATATTTTCTTACCAGACAAACACTTAAACTCATTCTGAAAGTACAGGGCCTTCTCAATGTGGCTCCTACCTACCATCTCCCACTGTCTGTTGATCCAGCCAAACTCAAAAACTCTCGATTCTTTAGCATATCTTTGATAGGTCTTGCCTCACCGTGTCCCCTCTGACCAAAAGATATTCCTCTACTCCCCATCTCCCTCTCCAAAAAAAAAACAACTTATTTTTTCTCAATTAATAGTTCAACATTTAACCAATGAAACAAGTATATTGGTACATATTTTATATCTCAAAATTATTCCACAGAAAAGATTTCATATTTTATAATAGCTTTAATTTTAGATACATTTTCCTTTTAAAATCTCCTTAGAGGTAATTTTTGTCTTTTTAGAAAATGTAAAACAACCTTCCACTATAAACTTTAATATATTTTTTAAAGAAAAAGTATAATCAGATACAGAAAATAGGAGTCATTTGCAAATGTAAAATATGAACAGATACTTGATATTACTGGAATCTTGACCAAGAAATCAAAATTATAGCGAGTTTTCAGAGCTCTATTTACAGCTCTAGGCTAATGCGGTTGCAAGATTCTCAGTTATTTCTTGATGCAGCATCCACTGTCCTGAACAGTGCTCAAAGGGGTGTCAGACTGTCCTCAAGAACCAGTAAGTTTATTTAAATGGATTTGAATCAATATTTCCTACATCTTGCTCAGCCATAGAACGGTGACTACTCTGCTCTTTCAGACTAGACTTTTCAAGGGAACAGAAAGCGGTAGATACTGGTCCAGGAAATACCTGAAAAGAGGTCTGTGCTAGAGTCTTAATGGGTTGAATAAAGGAGCCAGGGTAGTAAAAATGGGAGAGAGAAGTGAGAGAAATTTAGAAATGTGAAAGGGAGACAACTAAGAACTTCTGTCCAAGAAGAACTAGAATAATCGCAGAAGCAGCCAATGTCTACATGCCATTGTCTATCAGTTAAGTCAAATATTATTTTTCAATTAATGAGGAATGTGCACCCTAGATAAAAGATTACCATAAGAGAATCTACACAATTACTATCAGAAAACAAGGGACGCTAGTTTGTTAACTGTCAAGTCATTTTAATCATGTTAAGCATCATTGCATTCTAAGTGGTATTTCTGTCTCTACAGCATATGTAACATCTTTTGCTTCTTAAGATTTTCCTGTTGTTAAGAAAGACAAGATATTTTGAGAGCTGTGAGAAAACAAGCACAAAACAAATCAAACATCCAACATTCAGGTGCAGGTATGAAAATTCATTCCTTAGAAATACATCCTTCAGGCTGGGCATGGTGGCTCATGCCTGTAATCCAAGCACTTTGGAAGCCAAGGCGGGTGGATCACCTGAGGTTGGGAGTTCAAGACCAGCCTGACCAACATGGTGAAATCCCGTCTTTATTTAAAAAAAAAGAAATACATCCTTCAAAAACCTCATCTGTTCATATTTTAAATCTTTTAAGACCTGATGTAATGGAATTAGCCAAACATGCTGCTTCAACTTATAGAGAGGCATTTAAGATATTTATTAACTCAGAATACTATAGAATATGTATTATATGACTTTATGGAATATGTATTTACTTAAGAAGTTGATGTTACTTGAAACTTAAGTCTACTATATTTTTCTTTACTCAAAAATCTGTAGCTACTTCTCTTGGAAATAATTTAACCTCAAGACAATAAAAAAATACTCTTGAGGAAATATAAGATTTTTTATAGGCCTGGCGTGGTGGCTCATGCCTATAATCCCAGCACTTTGGGATGCCGAGGCAGGCGGATCATGAGGTCAGGTGATCAAGACCATCCAAAAAAAACAACACAGAAATTAGCTGGGCGTGGTAGCATGCATCTGTAGTCGGGAGGCTGAGGCAGAAGAATCACTTGAACCGGGAGGTGGAGGTTGCAGTGAGCTGAGATTGCATCACTGCACTCCAGCCTGGTGTCAGAGCATGATTCCATCTCAAAAAAAAAAAAAAAAAAAAAAAGATTTTTTATAATACCCACAATTAGCCTCAAGTACTGACACAAACAGTTTGAAATGTCAAGTGTAAGAATATGTGATAGAACCAAATACACTAAGCTGAAAAATACCACCCATCACTTCTCCATTTCTTTGTGGAAGACTTATGTGCAATTCTGGTTGCCCACACCTTGTTTGCTAGCTCATATAAAAGCTGTTAGCTTTTGAACAGAAGAAACTTAATTTGGACTAAACTTGAATGAAACAATACGTAACATTCTTAAATAGTGATTTTTTTTTCATCTATTGGAGTCTGTCAAATAAACTATGGAGAATGAACAAATAAAATCCTATTAACTTATTAAAAAAAATAAAGAAGGTCTGTGTTACGATGTGGATATCTCTAAAAATTATATTCTTTCAAGAACACAGCAAGGTATTAGAACAGTATAAATAATATGCTTTTTGAGTAATGGAGGAAATAAGATTATACATTCCTATTTCCTTACATTTACGGAAAGAAACACTAAAAGATACATAAGAAAATAATAAAATGGCTACCTATAAAGGGAAGAAGTAGACCTTTTTGTATTATTTTGATTTTTGAATCAGGCGAAGAATGAATTATCTTTTTTAAAAAAGTCCTCCTAAGTAAATTAAATTTTAAAAGTTAAAAATAATCATTACAAAAATAAATAAATGCTTCCAGTGAGGATTAAGTGACGACAGTCTTTCCTGGACTCCACTGTAAATTAAATAGAAGGGTTGTACATTTATTGAAACATACAAATGGGGGACATTTGTTGAGCAACTTCAATGACTTATAAGTCCAATAAATTTCATATACTTGTAATTTTAATTTGGTGATATAATGCTCCCAGTGGCTTAGTAGAAAGAGTGTTACACAAAGAATTAGGTGACAGGGTTCTAGTTCCAGCTCTGCTTTTAACTGGCTCTATGATCTTAGTCACTTCTCAGAACTTCTTTTTATCTGTCAAATAAAGGCATGCAGAAGTGATCTCTAGGGACCCTTAGAGTGATTCTGTTATTCTTAAGTTACCTGTTGTATACTGGGTATTTGGGTGTATTCCAAACTCGATTCTTTTCACCATAGGTTTTTCATTTCTTTTTCTCCTGGACCTTGTATAAAGCTTTGCAAAGAGTTCCTTAGTCAATGTTAAGAGAAAGAAATTTTTTTATGTATGACCTTGGTGGTAATCAATAGTAAATGCTGAGAAATGTGTAGGCCATAAAATCAAACAACATGAAAGAGGGATCATACTCTTCTCTTCCCTGATGTTTCAAATTTTCCATACAAAATATTGAATAAAGTAGAAAAAGGCAAAAACAAAAAATGCTCATTATATGTTAATGGAAAAAACACAAAGAGGCCTATATTTTCCAATGAAAAGTCTCAGGTGAGATAACAGATTTTTAGCTAAGTTTCTTAGCTCTGTGTAAATTTAAAATCATCAGCAATATTTGTTATGAAGAGCCACTGAGCTGCTAATAACATATGGTTGCTTCAATTTCTTAGTTCCTGACTAAAGGCTAAAACTAAAAAATCTACAGCAATCTAACTTACTATAAATCTACATTTATACAGGAAGATTCATCTGCCCTTTTTGTAGGTTAAAAAGCAAATTATCATATCTTATGTGAATGGAAAGTAGTCAGGTAACCTATATTATGAATTTTATTATTATTATTTTTAAATACTCAGTGAACTGTCTTTGAGATTATTTTATACTCAGGCTACATATAATTATTTTAAAACTTAAAAAAAAAAAAGTTTTAATAAACTAGGATGAAGTTTTCCTGAAATACACTTAGAAAACCTCTTGCACAGATGTGTATGAAACTAGGTCTACAGCATATATAATGAAGTCAACACAAGAGACAGTATTCAGTATCGCAAAGCTGAGGATGTCACTGACCAGAGAACTCAGCAGATGTATTTAAGACATTATGCTTTTCTCTGCATAAAAATAAGGGAATTTTTACTGGTTTTCCCCTGACTTTCTATGCTAGGGGACACAGCAGGGACAAAGAAAGAAACAGTACCCTTGCCATCTTGGCTAGTGGTCATATGTGAGGAAATTTTTCCCTACCTGTTCCAAGGAGCTAGCTTGATTCAGCCACAGGGTGGACTTTCCGATGCTGGATTAGGTTGCAATGGTAAATGAAGTTCTTGCCACATTCTTCACATTCATAAGGTCTCTCTCCAGTATGAATTCTCTGATGCTTAATGAGGACTGAACGTCGGCTAAAACTCTTACTGCACTGATTACACTGGTAAGGTTTCTCCCCAGTGTGAATTCTGAGGTGATGGAAAAGCCCGGCGTTCTGACTGAAGGCTTTGCCACAAACACTGCACTGGTAGCGCTTCTCCCCAGTGTGGAGTCTCTGGTGCTGGAACAGGCCTGACCGCTGGCTGAAGGCCCGCCCACACTCGGCACATTCATAAGGCTTCTCACCTGTGTGTGTTCTCTGGTGCTCAATAAGAATGGAATTCTGGGTGAAACTTTTTCCACATTCACTACAGATATAGGGTCTCTCCACTGAAGAGCTCACCCTTTGCTTTTCCGGTCTGCCCTCATGGTCACAGATATCTCCATACTCACGCATCTGAGTAATATTACCATTCAGTTTTCCAGGAACTTGTACAAGAGATTTCACTTCCTGAGAAATCTCCTTTGGGGCTAACTCCACATTCCAAGTCCCAGCCTTGCCATCTAAAATAATGATAACATGAAAGATAACATGAAGTATGAAAGATAACAAAAAAAGTGGCCAGGAGAATGGGTGGAAGGGGACAAGTAGCCACTTTTTCTGTTTATTTTTTCACTCTAAAACTATTATACCCAGACCTCAGGGAAAAGATGCACTGTATTATAACTGCTTACTTAATTGTCTGCCTCTCCCACTAGACTGTAAACTTCATGGGAGCAGGGACCACATCAGTCTTGTTTATCACTGTACCCCTGGTACCTGGCATAGTGCCTGGCATACAGCAGACACTAAATAAATGTGTTGAATTGATAAATATTCAGAGAATGAGGTAGGCTCTCTGAGGAAATTCTAATCCTCACCAATCTCCTGAACTGGGTACACCTCTTGCAAATTATACTGACATTGCTCTTCCAAGGCTTGGAATTGGCCATTTGATGACTCCTGATCTGATCTTGGAGTTGCCTTCTCCTTTACAAACTCTTCCTCGTCATAAGCATGGGTCAGGACCTGGTGGAAATCAAGAACAGTTGGGAACCAAGTATCAGACAGAACACTGCAAGGAGGCCTTCTCAGGGCCACTGGATAGAAAAGAAGGACCAAGAAGTTGGCAAAGAAAAAACAGAGGCAGAGAGTTTAAAAGCCTACAGGAGATTAAGTCTGGCATAAAAAAATCCTCTTCTTGTTACATTGAAATCCCATACTTGTTCTTACAGATACAAACACCTGTTCTCCTGTCTTCTCACCTGCTCTCCTGGTTCATCCAGCTCTCTCTCCAAATCCTCCAGCACAGTCACTGCCTCCTCTCCACTCAGAGGGTGGTGTGCTCTCACCCAGGCCTGGAGCTCCTCAGGCAGGATAGTCAGGAACTGCTCCAGCACCAGCAGCTCCAGGATCTGCTCCTTCGTGTGCATCTCCGGTCTCAGCCACTGATGGCAGAGCTCCTGGAGTCTTCGAAGAGCCTCCCGGGGCCCAGGGGTCTCCTGATAGCAGAACTGCCTGAAGCGTCGACGAAAGATCTCTCTAGTATGAGGGTTATTTCTTGACAGGCCTGATTCTGGCCGACAGGAGTGTCCCTCCTCTTCCTCCTTTACCTTCACTGCCATAAGTCCTTCCTGCATCTCTGCAGTCTGAAGGGTCAAGGTTATGGACATCAAAAGTTTAACTATTCAGAAAAAGAATCTATTCTTGGTAATTCTCCCTTGATCTTTTCTTCTGGAAACCCCGAGATCTAGACAATAATTTGCAAAGAAAAAAATATAAAAATGCAGAAAACCTCAGGACAAGGAGGAAATGGAGTATTTATACTAAAATCAGCCACTTTGTCTCATGAAGAAGGAACGTCGAAATTTGATTAATAATAGATACTTTGGACATACAAATCCAGATAGAAGAAAAAGAGAAATGGAAGAAACAAAAACTCCTACAGTTTACTAAATGAAGATACTGTTTCAGTCATCCTGAATGAAACAGCTCAAATCAGCTTGAGTATATTGGGTTTTAACTTGAATGGCAAGATGCTAAATTCAAGGCAAATTTTCGCTGTATGAGGGTAAACAAGCACTTTGGGCCCAAGTGGTCACAGATGACACCAAGAATCAAGGAGAAAAAGGAAATAAATGGAGGATGGAGGGAAAGTAAAGAAGATAAAAAGTAAGAATGTTAAGCAATGCCCTTAGAGAGGAGAGGCAGAGTCCCTCCAATCATGGGAGGGATGGAGGAGAGAGATCTAGGTTTAACATGTGGAAGGTACTGGGCTGAGAAATCATCCTGCTGGTATTCCCTCCAAAGTCTTGGGCTTCATGTTTTGAGCCTTGGTCTCTTCGTTCTATAAAATAGGAATCCTAAAACCAACACTGCATATCTTTCTAGGTTGATACAAAGATAAAATGAGGATAATGAGCACAAAGAAGCTGGGTGTTTAGTAAACTGTAAAGCGGTAACACTGTTGTTATTTTTCTTATGTTATTGTAAGATTAAATGAATATCTTGGTGGTTTAAGCGCTAAGACAAAAGAATCAAAGTAGTTGACTGTAGTGGTCTAGGCTCAGAGATATTAAAATGAACGAAATACTGATTCTAGTACTTTAAAACAGGAGTAGAATTTGAGCTTTTTGTTGCCCTTTAATTTCTTGGAAATTTTTTCTCTTTGAAGCTACTTGAAGGTAGAGAGTGGGCAATTTTATGTAAAATAAAATTACTGCTAATAAAAAGACAAATGTCTATGACTCCTGAGGTGAGGAGTTCGAGACCAGCCTGGCCAACGTGACGACACCCTGTCTCTACTAAAAAATACAAAAATTAGCTGGGTGTGGTGGCACATGCCTGTAATCCCCGCTACTGGGGAGGCTGAGGCTGGAGAATCACTTGAACCCAGGAGGCAGAGATTGCGGTGAGCCAAGATCATATCACTATACTCCAGCCTGGGCAACAGAGCGAGACTCTGTCTCAAAAGAAAAAACAAAAATAAAGAAACTTATGAGCAATCTTAACTAGGATAGTACTTAATGAAGGCAATTTTCTGAAAGAAAAACAATTATGTGACCCACTGATTTCTAAGCAGCATTTGAAGCAGAGACTTTCAAACTTTTTTGACCAGGACCCTTATTAAGAAATATTTTATATTATAACCCAGAACATACACGCACATTCATATGAGTGTATGTTTGTGCATTTATGAGATATACAAATAACTGAAATAATACTTTCACAAAACAATATGTATGCTTGCTCTATGTCGTGACATACAATTATTTTTTAAACCTATTTCATTAAAAGATAAAAAAGCTTGGGAACAGATTTTATGACCCACAAATGAAAAATAACCTGTAGAATAAAATATTTTTAATTATAAGAAAATTATTGTAATCCATTGCAAAAATAACCCTACACTATTCTGTTTGTTTGGGTTCTTTGTTGTTGTTATTTGTTTTGAGACAGAGTCTCACTCTGTCACCCAAGCTGGAGTGCAGTGGCACGATCTTGGCTCACTGCAACCTCCGCCTCCTGGGTTCAAGCAATTCTCCTGCCTCAGCCTCCTGAGTAGCTGGGATTACAGGTGACCGCTACCATGCCAGGCTAATTTTTGTATTTTTAGTAGAAATGAGGTTTCACCACGTTGGCCAGGCTGGTCTTGAACTCCTGACCTCAGATGATCCACCCACCTTGGTCTCCCAAAGTGCTGGGATTACAGGCATGAGCCACTGTGCCCAGCAACCCTACACTGTTCTTAGGTATTGACATTGATTGTGAAATTAAATAACTAAGGATAGGGTATTTTATTAGCCTGCTCTCATGCTGCTAAAAAAGACATACCCAAGACTGGGTAATTTATGAAGGAAAAAGGTTTAATTGACTCACTGTTCAGCACGGCTGGAGAGGCTTCAGGAAACTTACAATCATGGTGGAAGGGGAAGCAAACATGTTCTTCACATGGCAGCAGCAGGGAGAAGTGCCGAGGAGAGGGAAAAGCCCCTTATAAAACCATCAGCTGTCATGAGAACTCACTATCACGAGAACAGCATGAAGGTACCTGCCCCATAATTAAATTACCTCCCACCAGGTCCCTCCCACAACACATGGGGATTATGGGAACTTGGGAACTATAATTCAGGATGAGATTTGGCTGGGGACACAGCCAAACCATGTCAGGTATTTAAATTACAAGTGAACACTGATCATATTACAACTAGAAGAAAAGTTAGATTCATGTTGTGATTATATTTATCAAAGGGCAAAAAGCTACTGGCATGGGACAGCATCCTTCTGGATAACCTGCACACATAATCCTCTCCATAAAGTTCTGAGATCTTTGGTTTGGTTGCCTTTTATAATCACTACCCCAGAAATTGTACAAAGAATTTTTTTTCTCTAAAGACAGAATCCTCAAATTCATATTTCCCCCCACTTTTATTCCCCTTCCCCCTTCCCCCTTCCCTTCTTCCCTCCTTCCCTCCTTCCTTCCTTTTTTCCTTTTCTTTCCCTCCCTTCCTCCTTTCCTCTCTTTCTGAGACGGAGTCTCGCCCTGTTGCCCAGGCTGGAATGCAATGGTGCAATCTCGGCTTACTGCAACCTCTGCCTCCTGGGTTCAAATGATTCTCTTGCCTCAGCCTCCCGAGTAGCTGGGATTACAGGGACTCACCACAAAGCCCAGCTCTTTTTTTCTTTTTAATTGAGATGGGGTTTCTCCATGTTGTCCGAGCTGGTCTCAAACTCCTGACCTTGTGATCTGTCTGCCTTGGCCTCCCAAAGTGCTAGTATTACAGGCATGAGCCACCATGCCAGGCCTTCCCCTGCTTTTCTTGGTGTGGTCTCACCACTACTGTGACTACCATATTATCTTTTTCTGTCATAACTTTTCATATATCACTCATTCATTTAGCAAATGTTTATTGAGAGCCTATCATATTCCAACTACTGTTCTAGGCACTAGGGATGTGGCTGCAATTATAACAAAGTCCCTAGTCTCATGGAATTGACATTCTAATAACAATATTAATAATAGCAGACATTTATAGTGCTTTTAACATGCCAGGTATTGTTACGGATGCTTTATATATACTAAACCACTTAATCCTCAAAACAACCATGAAGAAGGTGCTATTATTACCACCATAGCACAGATGAGAAAACTCAGATACAAAAAGTTTAGGTTACTAGTCCAAAGTCCAAGTCAGTTACAGGTAGAAGTAATGAAGCTGCAATTCAAACCCAACAAATCTGACTTCAGAATTTACAGTCTCCACTGCTATAACACTAACTCTCTGTTGGGGAAAGAAGAGGCCAGGATGAGGAAAAGGGGTCCAGGAGGCAGATAATAATTAAGTATTGGTGAAATAGTGATAAATGCTGTAAAGAAAATAAAGGGAAAGGAGAGAGTAAGGGGAAAGAAAGCTTGCTATTTTATAGTCAGGGAAGGCCTTGATAAGGTAATGGTTGAACAGTTCTGTGGGAAGTGAGAAGCAAGTCACATGGCTATCTAGAGAAAGACTGTTCCCGCAAAGGGAACTGCAAGTGCAAAGTTTTGCAGGTGGGAACATGCCTTGATTTTTCAATAATTGCTAGTTGAACAAGGGCAATGATACAAAGAAAACAAAAGGAAAAGTGATGGGAGATAAAGCAAGGAGTTTGGAAACAGATCATGAAAGGCAGTGGTAAGGGCTCTAGCTTGTACTCTATGAGATATGGAAACCACCGAGGATTTTGAGCCAAGGGGTAACAAAATTTTACTTACATTTAATATAAAAGCATAACTCTAGCTGCCGTGTCAGTGACCTTGGGGCTAAGTGGAAACAGAGAGGAATGCTGTGACAATCATCCAGGGAAGAGATGGTCACGGCTTGAAACCTGGTCTGCTGAATTTGTTACAGGGTAAGAAAGTTTTGTGGTACAAATATCAAATAGCTAAATTCAGAATATGTACTCTCACATGAGTCAGTAAACGTACCATAGATTCAAGGGATGAAACAGTCACTCATGCTTTCTTTTTTTCAACTTTCTAGGCTCTGAAAAATGTCTTTTCTTATTTATCACTTGTGCCTCTTGGTTTCCAAGTCAAACCTTTTCTATTCAAAGACAATGCAGCTGAAGCTTAGACTTCTGCCCAGAAAAATTCATTTCTGGGATGTGGTGTTTCAGATATTCAGTTTCACAAATATAAATTTCCCTATTTTCTCTGTATACTCTGGGTTCATTTTTGCCTTCCTTCAACTGATTTTGCTTTTATCTTGGGGACTTAGTACCCAGACCCTTGCACCAGCATATATGAGTTCTTCTTTGAACCCAGTGTCTCCAAAAGGCTTCCCTAGTTTTTTATAATCCTGCCCTCCCGGTCACATCGAGTTCCTAATTTCCCATTCAGGATCACAACCTCAGTGTATATACCAAGTATATAATTAGCACAATAATCTGCATTTTAAAGTTGGTTCCCCCTAGAGCCTCAGCAAGCTCAACATCCCCAAATCTACCATCATCCTTATGGATGGATGCTCTTTACCAAAGCTATGCATGTAGGTGAAGACTAAGCAGCACACAATACAAATGTGCCTTTACCACCATACACCCAACAACCCTCACCTCTGCTGATACCATCTCTGGCTTCTCACTAATTGGATGAATTCCCAAACTCTCAAGCACAGCTTAAAACCAGTCAGACCTTTAGCTTCTGTTGTCTGGCTCCACTGTTGCTTTCCTCTGTTCCACAAGCAGAACCCTCAGTTCCAGTCAGGCTTTCTTTCTCACTATTCTAATCAGGCTTTTCTCATCCCTGTGCCATGACCTTGCTCTTGCCTTACGCCCTCATTCAAACCCTATCCAGTCTCTGCAGCTTGATTCAAATCGCACATCCTCTCTGAAGTCTTCATTATCCATTTCAGCTCACTCTCCTTTGTCGTATACTGTATGAGTCATATCTTTCACCATCAGTCACAATTCATCTTGTACCGTTACTTCTCTTCGGAACCATTTTTTTAAATCCAAAAAGTAGAGCGGAATACATAATTCCTTCACCAAGTTCTACTACCCCAAAATAAATAGTCTTAAAGACTGGAATGTGTCTTTTTCATTTTCTATAAATTTGCAATCATACATACACATGTATACACATGTGCACACATACATAGAGTTGATATAAGCCCATATATTTTATTTACCTTAGATAAGCAGAAGATAGTATGAGGTAGCAAAGAATACGGGCAGATATGGTTATGAATTTTTTTTCTTTTGAGATGGAGTCTTGCTCTGTTGCCCAGGCTGGAGTGCAGTGGCAGGATCTTGGTTCACTGTAACCTCCACCTCCCAGGTTCAAGCAATCCTCCTGCCTCAGCCTCCTGGATAGTTGGGATTACAGGTGCCACCACCACTTCTGGCTACTTCTTGTATTTTTAGTAGAGACGGAGTTTCACCATACAGGTCAGGCTGGTCTTGAACTTCTGACCTCAGGTGATCCGCCCACCTCAGCCTCCCAAAGTGCTGGGATTACAGGTATGAGCCACCACAGCCCGCCGCTTATAAATTCTAACACAGTGATCTTGGGCAAGTTACTTGATTTTTCTAAGCCTCAAGCTCATACATGAAATGAGGGCAACAACTACCTTGCCAACTTGTTGAGACTATTAAATGAGATAATGCACAGAAAGTGTTTTTTTTTTTTTGCACAAAGCCTGGCCTCGCATATAAATCTGCAAATTAATCTTTTAATGAGATAATGTACAATTTTGGTACAATGGTGGCTTAATTAATAGTTGCTACCTTCCGTTAGGGCCAAGACTGTAATCTTTTCTATTGCCCAAAGAACAAGATGAGTGGGCAAAAACAAGCACACAAATCAATAAAATGGCCGTTTTATCATGTTTGCAGACACACTGAAAGATATGTGTCTTCAGATATATTCTCCTCTCCAAGTAAATCCTAACTAGAAACCCAGGACGACTGAGGTCCAAAAGAAAGACCGGATTCAAATGAGCCAAGTTAATCTCCCTGGCTATGGCTATTAAGCTAATACACAGACTGGAGTGAGCATAGCAGAGGTTTTAAGAAAATGGACTCTGGAGCCACAGTGCCTGGATTTGAATGCTTCCTACAGCCCTTACTAGCTTTATGACCTTGGGCAAGTTACTTAACTTCATTTTATTCTTGTAGGTTAATTTTAAAAAGAGGCAGGACAGGGAGGTGGGGCATAGTCTACATAATAACAGTACCTATCTTACAGAGTTAAGAGAAACATAGTATTTGGGACGTGCTTAGAACAGGGCTGGGCTGGCACATAGTAAATGCTATTTATTCTTTTGGAAAAAAATCCATAGCAGCAAGACCAAGAAAGGCTGCGGCATCTTGTAAAACTATCTCTGTTCATTCTTTAAAATAAGTGCACAGTACACATTTTTTCATATCCGAATCTGTCGGATCCTAAGATGCAGACAGGGAGAGTTCAGAGTGTCCCCAGTACCAGGGCTGAAAGGCTGAAGAACGCAGGAACAGAAACGGGTGGAGGAAAGGGGAGGAGCAACGACGCGGACTCGGGGAACAGGCCCGTCCAGGCTCCGGAGAAACCCCCTCTGCCCTCCCCTGCCCGGCCCATCTCCGACCGAGAAGCCCCTGCCGCCAAATCCCCATACCCGGTCCGGGTCGCAGCGCACAGGCCGGCCGTTCCGAAGCCCCTCAGCTGCAGCCCGACTCCGAGGCTCAGCGAGGCATCCGCGAGAGGAGACGCCACCTAGCGCAGGTCACGGCGCCTCCGAATCCCCGACTGCAGCCGCCGGGAGATGCGACAAAGGACGGAAGTGCGTCACCGCGGCGCGTTCTCCCCGGAACGCGGGCTCGGAAGGCCGGCGGTCTGCTCACCCCGTGGTCGTGCGTCCCCGTCTGCAGGCGTAGTGAGATGCTAGGTGACCGTGTTCCAGGCGGCAGTGCACAGCGGCTAACATAGTGCTGTAACACGTGTTAATTCATACTCTGCCTGACAACCCTGCGAGTTAGGTACCGTTATCTCCATTTAACCGGTGTGTGTGTCTATATATATATATATTCTAGCTCTTGTATACACACACACATATACATATATACATATATGTACATATATATGTATATGGAGGATTTTATGAGATGCTTTCTGTTCAAAAACAACTCCACAGAATTCCTTTTCATTTTTCACCGTTGCACATTTTTTTTTTTTTTTTTTGGGAGACGGAGTTTCGCTCTTTGTTACCCAGGCTGGAGTGCAATGGCGCGATCTCGGCTCACCGCAACCTCCGCCTCCTGGGTTCAAGCAATTCTCCTGCCTCAGCCTCCTGAGTAGCTGGGACTACAGGCATGCACCACCATGTCCAGCTAATTTTTTGTATTTTTAGTAGAGACGGGGTTTCACCATGTTCACCAGGATGGTCTCGATCTCTTGACCTCGTGATCCACCCGCCTCGGCCTCCCAAAGTGCTGGGATTACAGGCTTGAGCCACCGCGCCTGGCCCCGTTGCACATTTTTTTTCTTTCCCCCCACTGTGAAAACTCTGGCTCCCAATAGCGTAAAGAAATTCACTAAATTTACTCTATCTTACAAACAAAATAGTTTCAGGTGGGCGCTGTGGCTCAAGCCTGTAATCCCAGCACTTTGGGAGGCCGAGGCGGGCGGATCACCTGAGATCAAGAGTTGAAGACCAACCTGACCAACATGGAAAATCCCCACCTCTACTAAAAAACCCCCCACAAAATTAGCTGGCATGGTGGCACATGCCTGTAATTCCAGCTACTTGGGAGGCTGAGGCAGGAGAATCGCTTGAACCTCGGAAGTGGAGGTTGCAGCGAGCTGAGATGGAGCTATTGCACTCCAGCCTGGGCAACAAGAGCGAAACTCCATCTCAAAAAAAGTTTCAAGATTATAATACCAATATATCGATAACTGGCAATAACATATCTACTGCATAGAGTTCAAAATTTCTTTGCTTGTTTTGTTTTTTAATTATATCCTGTTAAGGGAGTATAGTCAAAGAACTGGATAAATGTCTTTTTTTTTTTTAAATCATCCACGTTTCTGTTTATATATAGTATATAGAACAACAAATTCAGGAACTAAGGGAAAGTAACATATAAAACCTTAATAGGAAATAGAGATTATAAAACACTACCATTTGATTTTTTTATAGTGAAACAAATACTTCAATATTCTAATATTTTTACTCACTTGCTAAATAAAGCACACAACTCAAAATGCTAAGTAATTGTCTAAATCTTTTAAAGAATAAAACGTTAGTGAAAAACCAAAATTGCTTAGTAAGGTATGTATAACTTTATTACCTATCCTAGACATCAAGATGATCATAGTTAATACCAACTTAAGCTTTACAGAATACTGTTTTAGGCCAAATATTGATATATTAAATGAACCTATCAGAGAATCTTATATTTATGGCATCAGGTTATAAAGATCTATTCAAAACCATTTTTTGTCAAAGTTTAAACACTGGAACAAAAGTCAAGTTGTTTCTAAATGAGACACAAAAGGATTCTTGCTAATAGTACAAATTTTGTCCCCTGGGTAATACTTTTTGTTTTTTTGAGACAGAGTCTCTCTTTGTTGCCAGGCTGGAGTGCAGCGGTGCGATCTCTGCTCATTGCAACTTCCGCCTCCTGGGTTCAAGTGATTCTCCTGCTTCAGCCTCCCAAGTAACTGGGACTACAGGTGCATGCCACCATGCTCAGTTTTTTTTTTTTTTTTTTTTTTAATTATTCTTTATAGTATAGACGGGGTTTCACCATGTTGGCCAGGATGGTCTCAATCTCCTGACCTTGAGATCCGCCCGCATCGGTCTCCCAAAGTGCTTGGACTACAGGCATGACTCACTGTACCTGGCCGTCTTTTGCTTTTTAAAAAAAAATTATTTCAATTTTTATTTTAGATTCAGGGAACACATGGGCAGGTTTGTTAGCTGGGTATACTAGGTTTGTGATGCTGAGGTTTGGGGTACGGATGATCCCCTCACTCAGGTAGTCAGCAGAGTACCCAGTAGGTAGTTTTCAGCTCTTGCTCCCCCACCCTACCTCCCCAGTGTCTACTGTTCCCATGTGTTCTTGGGTATTACTGTTTTCAAGTTTTTTTCTTTACATGAAGCCACTGAAAGCAAACGTATGTCATACTTATAGGTTACTTTGTACATTTATCATTCTATTAATGAATGTCTTAATTAATTAAGCAGTATATTAAGGCCATAAACTAAGTCACTATCTCATATCAAAGGACTATTATTATTCAATTATCTAGAAAATTCATTTTAATGGGTTACGTTACAGGGTTGAGGTCAGCCTACAGACACAAAATAGGTTAAAATATTTTTTTCAGATCAGCTTTTAATTTTTTCACTGGAATAGGATTTGGAGGTGGGGATACTAAATGTGGCAGGGTTCAACAAATTTACAGTTTATCAAAAGGTTCTTAAAGAACACAATGATAGCATATACTTTAATTCTTAGAGCACAAACCCTTATATCGATGGTCACAGAAAAATACTGTAATGCTTTAAACAAAAGTTTTAAAATACATCAATGATGCAAGTTTCAAACAAAATGTAGTGATCTACATGTACTTAACTGTCCTTTCATCAAGCTTTTAGAAACGCAATCAGTCTTCACTGTCTGAGCAAATGAGTTTTAGTTTCTTCATGGTCCTCCATCTGTCTTTTAACATGACACTTGTCCGGTTGTTGAATTTACAATGCAACAGTATTTTAGACCAGTTTCCCTCTCCAAATTTCCTCACGCCAGATCTCAAATTCTTGTCTTTTCCCAAAGCCATGCCTGTCTTTTTCTAGCTCGATGTTTTTTAGGAGTCACCGGTTGACTTTCTGAAACAGGTATTCTACTTTCAGTGGCTCTTCTGCTTTCTTTTTTCTTTTTTGCACTTTGAAGAGTTCCTACTCTTCTTTCTTTACTAAGGTCTTGTTGCTGGGTTCCATGCTTCAACTTAGATAAGAAAAGATTCTTGTGAGACCTCAATAAGGATACTGTACCTTCTGAGGATTCAGTTACCGCAGACTGTTTGTCACTAACACTTTTTCTTGTATCCAAATTAGCTTCAGTTTCCATTTCAACATCATTACCATTAGGTTTATCTTGAGAAGTTAGTGTTCTTGCTCTTTTACTTTCTACTACTTTTGCTGCTGCCTTCATTAGAAAGGTTGATGATTTTTCACTTAGCACATAATTCACATAACTCTTGATTTTCTCCATCATGTGGTTGTAACTGAAGTGTTGAAAAACAGAATGGTATGTATCTTTCTGAGAGATTATCATAAGCAATTTCCTTTTTAAAGGCGCGTAAGAATTTGGGTCACCAAATATTCTTTCAAAGACTTCTTTTGCTTCCTTAAAGTTCCCGTTTTCCATAGAAACAGCTATAGCCTGAACTTCAATTAAATTCTGTATTTCTTCGTGAAGTTTGTCATGTTCCTTTGCAATCGAACCCCAGATCATCAGGGCTGATTCCAAGGGTGTAATTCGTTCATCATTTTCAAACTGTGCATCAAGGTTTTTTCCTGCTGCAATTCTTGTCAAAAACTGACATATATATACAGTTCTCAACTGATAAGCTGTTAGACTGGATAGTCCATGAATAATTGCCTCGGCGCTGTCGCGGGTCTGGCGAAAGTCCTTGGAGCGGCCGTCGCGGAAAGCTCGGCAAAGAGAGAGGCAGAGGAAATCGAGCATCCAGCCGGCAGCCACAGCCTCGGCCTCGGCCACAAGGCCCGCATCCTCCTCCTCCTCTGGAGCTCCCAACTGCACCTGGCACTCGAGCAGTTCCTGGCACTCGAACTGCTCCTCGTGGTTTCTCTCCGTTTCTGCTATCCGCTCCTCGGTAGCGTCGGCATCCCTACCATCAGCACAGCCCCGGGGACTCGGAGCAGCTGAGGAGGCGTCCTCCCTGGATAAATGTCTTACTTGAATTATTTCTTTTCTCTATATGGTTATATTACAAATGATATACAGTTAGGATCACTGGTTTCTGTTTGTATTCCATTTCAGGCTTTGCTTTCATCCCTTTTTAATTCTTTTTTGAAAATTCAAAGCATTTACTTAATTCAAAATCCACATTATATAAAAAGGTATAGAGGAGTTCTGCTTCCATCCCTAGTCCCTTTACCCCTTATACTCATATCCCAGTTTCATTATTTATTTATCCTCTCCTTTCCCTCCTCCCTTCCTTTTTTCTTACAAAAGTATTTACCTTTTTTACCCCATAAGTTAGATTATATACATTCTTTTTTTTTTTTTTTTCTTGAGACGGAGTTTCGCTCTTGTTACCCAGGCTGGAGTGCAATGGCGCGATCTCGGCTCACCACAACCTCCGCCTCCTGGGTTCAGGCAATTCTCCTGCCTCAGCCTCCTGAGTAGCTGGGATTACAGGCACGCGCCACCATGCCCAGCTAATTTTTTGTATTTTTAGTAGAGACGGGGTTTCACCATGTTGACCAGGATGGTCTCGATCTCTTGACCTCGTGATCCACCCGCCTCGGCCTCCCAAAGTGCTGGGATTACAGGCGTGAGCCACCGCACCCGGCCAGATTATATACATTCTTTCATGCCTTTCTTTATCACCTAACAGAAGAGCCTAGAAATGTCCTAAATCTATTTCCAGAAGTAGTCCTCTTTTTTTTCACACCTACATAATAATTCATTGTGTAGATGTATCATAATTTTTTTAACCAGTCTCTTAGGGGTGGATATTTGGGTTGCTTCCAATGTTTTGCTTTAACAAATAATGCTGCAATGAACAATAAGAGAGATACCTTTGTAGGGTGTAACAGTGAAGTGTGAGAGTGCCTGTTTTCACACAGCCTGATGAACTGTATGTTTTCCGCCTTTTACATATTGCCAATATGATAGGTCCTTGGGTGTTTCTGAGATATCACAAACTCAATGCTGAAATCCCTGCTGGAAATGGATTCACAGTGCTGAATTTCAGCAAGGATTATGAAACAGTGGGAACTTTCATATATTTTTCATGAGAGCGTACACTGGTGGAAAACTCTGGCGTATGTACTAAAGTTGAATGTGTGCATGTTCTGTGACCCAGCCACCAGAAGTGCATATGTGCGTGCATCTAATGACATGTCTTAGAAGCATTTTTGGGTAATTGCTTTAAACTGGAAACAACCCTAATGTCCATTAACAGTAGGATGGATTAAAAAAGTTTATTCGGACAACCGAATACTGTGTAACAATGAAAATGAATAAACTACAGCTGTAGACTATGCTGATAAACTTCACAAACATAACAGTAAAAGACAGTAAAAGACAGAATAGTGAGTAAAAGAAGAGAAAACACACATACTTCATTATTTCATTTATATAAGGCTCATAACAGGAAAAACTAATATCTGATGTTAAAAGTCACAACAGGGAAGAGGAAAGGAATAGAGCTTAGCAGGGAGTACAACTGGGGCCTTCTGGGGCACTGGTAACAGTTCTATTTCTTGACTTTGGTAGTGGTTTTATGCATGGTTTTGCTTTGTAATATTTCATTTCACTGTACATATATTGCTATGTATTTTTAAATATATGCGTATTTCATTTTTTAAAAAATATGCAAACCACTCATTTTAGAGTTGAAACAACCAGACCTCGGATAAATAAAGTGTGTTGCTGAGGTCAGCAGACCCAGGACTTATATCCAGGTTTCCTGATTCGCTAGCTCCCTTGGCTTTAAGAGGTTAGTTAACCAGGTACCCTTACATGTGGATCTTTTTGCCCAGGCTGAAGCACAATGGCATGATCTCAGCTCACTGCAAGTCCACCTCCCAGGTTCAAGTGATTCTCCTGCCTCAGCTTCCCGAGTAGCTTGGATTACAGGTGCCAGCCACCACGCCTGACTAATTTTTGTATTTTTAGTAGAGGCGGGGTTTCACCATCTTGACCAGGCTGGTCTCAAACTCCTGACCTCAGGTGATCCACCCACTTTGGCCTCCCAAAGTGTTGGGATTACAGGTGTGGGCCACTGCACCAGGCACATGTAGATCTTAAAGGTGCCATTTCTTTGGTTGCAAGGTTAACAGTGTCCATTAGACAAAAATGTGGTTATTAGCAATGCTTAAACATATATGACAATCTTTTTACCCAGCTATTTCACCTTTTGTGAAATGTATCCCAAATGGAGATAGTAGTGGCCCTGTCTATACAGGTCATGTGCTGTGATTAACAATGTTTTGGTCAACAATGGGCTGCATATAAGACAGTAGCCTCATAAGATTATAACAGTTGCCCTATACAGGTATACTATTTTAAAATCTTTCATACCATATTTTTACTGTACCTTTGCTATTTTTAGATATGTTTAGATATACAGATAATTACCATTGTTAAACTGTCTACAGTATTCAGTACAGTAATAGGCTGTGCAGGTTTGTAGCCTAGGAAAACAGGTCATACTATATAGCCTAGGTGTGTAGTAGATTATATCTAGGTTTGTGTGAGTACATTCTATGATGTTCAAACAATGATGAAATTGCTTAATGATGCATTTCTCAGAATGTATCCCTGTTGTTAAGCAACACATGACTGTGTGTATGTACATACATACAAACAGACACACACACATGTATGTATGTATATATGAAGCCTAAAGTGACCTAAAACTATTATATAGACCATAAGGTAATAAGTATGATTATGCAGAAACATGGAGTAATTTTTAAAATGAGTGATTAAAAAAAATGTACCAAGTCATAAAATTCTAAGTACACTGAAAAAAATATCTATCAATCACACTAAATAGATGATTTGAAGAAATAAAAATAATTCTTAAATTAGGGAAGCAGGGATAAGTTTTTTTCTAGTAGTAGTGGGCGGATCACTTGAGGTTAGGAGTTTGAGACCAGCCTGGCCAACATAGTGAAACCCCATCTCTATTAAAAATTCAAAAAATTATCCAGGCATTGTGGTACACATCTGTAGTCCCAGCTACTTGAGGGGCTGAGGCACTAGAATCATTTGAAACTGGGAGGCAGAGGTTGCAGTGAGCCCACATCGCCCCACTGCACTCCAGCGTGGGTAACAGTGAGACTCTCTCAAAAAATAAATATATAAAATAAAAATATCTTTTGATATCACTTCAAAATAGAGTTAAACTGCATTTTTAAATAAAGCTTTTTAATGCTATTATTTTAAAAAGCATGATGTGTTAGGGACTTCTAACTCAGAGATGTATCTGTTCTTGTTCCTCACTTCCTCTTTTCCCTCTTGCTTTATCCCCACTCCCCACCCCCACCTTCCTACTGTTCATTAAAACACCATTGAATCTCTTAGTTCTGATTCTGTTCCTTGTACTCCTTCTCTCATTCATTCATTTATTTATAGATCGTCATCACACATTTATTAAGGGTTGGTTTCTGCACTTCAGAACTTGAATGTTATACCTTTATTTGGGACTAGGGCAGAGACTGTTTGCCTACTAAGTAAGTATTCTCTCCTTTTTAATCAAATAACCATTACAATTTCTATCTTGTACACTGGCACCTGAAATGAATATTACATTTCCCAGTTACCTTTGTAGCAAAGTGTGGTCATGCGACTAAATTCTGGCTAACTAGATGTAAGAATTTGTGCATTCTCAGAAGGCTCCTTGAAAAATGCTGACTTAGCCAGAAGAGTCTGTATTTTTGCCCTTTCTGCTGACTAGAATGCACAACTGATGGCCAGTGCTTCAGCGGCCAAGAGAAGCTGTATATGAGGACAGTCACAAGGTGAAAGGGACCTAGATCCCTGATGATTCTGTAGAGCAAAATAACAACCTCAAACTGTCTACCTTTGGACCTTATTTTCATAAGCTGTTAGTAATAGCTACTCATAAATTCTGATATTGGGTGTTTATGCTTTGACTCCCTACTAGGGTTTTCTTGCCCTTTTTAAAAAATGTGACCCCATCACCTCTAATTGAACCCACTGTCTCTGCTTCCTCCCTGCAAGAACAAATATCTGGGAAATACCTTTAGCGGGGACAGGGTGAGGACTTATAAAGAAATGATGCTTATGTGGTAGAAAAAATGTAGGTGATCAGAAAAAAAGGGACAATGGATAAAAGAAAAAAGAGAGGTGAATATAAGGAGGAAAAAGTGCAAAAAAAGAGAAAGAGAGGAGGCACAAGTTGCATTGCATCAGGTGGTTCAACAGACATTCGGCAAATTATAATGTTCAAAATACTATATCATCATGCCGGTGTCTTAAGTGTCCATAGCTTGATTTACCCTTCAAGGGTGTCACATTTGGAGGTTTAAGCCCTCTCTCAGAAACATAGAGGAAGTTCGAGGTCTGTTCACTTGTAGGTATTTGGCTAATTATATGAAAATTATAGCTCCATTATTGACTGATAGTAGGATTAGACTCAACAAAAATGATAGCTAATGTCCTCAGAGTCACTCGGTCCCTAAAATAAATTAACATCCACATGGAAGCCATGCTAAAGAAGAATATCTCTCTAGTTCATCTATCCTAGAGTATACTGTCCTCTTGTCATTTATGGCCTTCCCTGCTTTCAGCCTTGCTACCTATCTTCTAATCCAGTCAAGTTTCTAGTTATCTTTTTATTTGCATCACACTCCACTTTGTTTTGGTATCTCAGAATTGCTCTCGAGGTTTAGCCCATCTTATTCTGCACTCGCTAAAATAAAGATACCTGAACAAGGAGCACTTCCTCTTGGGTCTATCCTACCTGGTTGTGTAGTGTACAGTGGCATCAGCAATTTATAGAACACAGTCTAGAAAGGATCTTCCTCTGACTCTCATTGCAGCCCGGTGTATGCCTGGGTCAGCATCACAGGCGCCCTCCTTGCATAAGGAGACCAAGGCCTCCTTGAGTACTAGCATTTTCCAATATCTCCATAAAGGGATTGCTCTTTTCTTTCTCAGGAAGCAATATATTATTTTCAGAAGGCAAACCCAATTGTCATCAAGTTAACTGAAAG